GTTTGTTGTTTTTGGGAGGCTTAGTCTGACACCAGCTATTCCAGCCTTATCACAAGCAGAATCATCTGATACATTTACCTCTGCTTGTTACCCAGATTTTCACCTTGTCTCGGGAAACATCTGACAGAAACATTGTGCATAAAGGGAGTTCCCAGAGGAAAGTGATGGCAGACATCTGGGAGGGGTGATTGTTCTATTGGTGAATATTTCAAGAGTTCTTTCTGCCTTTTGTGTTACAGTTTACATACCAGGAGGCACTACAGTTCAGTTTGTCACTGTCTTCAAAGGTTCATCTGGCAAGTAGGATGGATGCAAGAAAAAGGAAAACTCTAGTGCCAAGATTCACCCAGTTCTGAGGCTGAGGTTGTCCAGAAATAGAAAGTCTGTCAGTTAATCCTTTATGCATTTAATTCCTGCTTATTCAGAAATGAAGCCACAAACAGAACAAATAACCTTCTATCGTGATTAATCAGTTTTCATCTTTTATACATTCTAGATATCAATGAAAATCTAATATGCCCTGGCATTTTAAAAACTCTTTTGCTTTATTCCCCTGCTTCAGCTCCATGGTAGATGTTCTGAATGGAGACCCCCACGTGCTGTCTCACAGCTGGCATTCTTGGAAGGCAGACCCAAAAAGGCTGTAGATGTTTTATAGAATGACAGGTGATTAAGAAGCACCAAGCAGAAAGGTTTACTCATCTCTTGGTGAGCCAGGTATTGCATGTGCTACTATAAGAGCTCCTAGTTTACGTCCAATTCAAGTGCCTGCATAAAATCAGGTACCTTTGTAGGATCATAACAGGACTGCACAGGGGTAGAGCCGGCTCTAGAAGAGGTGGACTAATGCTGCCAGTGACCAAAGACCAGGCAGAATCCAGACATCAGGTGTCTCCTTTTGTCCCTCCTTGGAGTAGAGGTTCTCCTCTGAGCATTCTTGGAGGATGCTAGTCAGTCGTATATGCTTTGAGCATCTGTTTTTGTGCTTGGACTTGTGGTGGGCACGGCCAGCCAGTGCTGAATATGTGTATTTGGTTGTGTGTTGATGCTGTGAAAGAGACTGGTAGAGAGTTACAGGGGTCCTTCCTGTGGGCATCTCACCTTCCCTGGAAGGCAGCAAAGTGGAGATAGAGATTAATAAGCATTAAGGGAGGGTGGGTAGAACAGGAGTGTTCTGTGCACAGGGAAGAGCATGTATAGAAGTACTTGGCTGTGAGGAGAAAAGGTGTGTTAGAGAAACTTCTAAATAATTGAAGCAGCCAGGCTGGGGATTTAGCTCAGTGGTGCCACCACCTGCCTTGCAAATGCAAGGTCCTGAGTTCGATTCCCAGTTAAAAAAAATTGAAGTAGCTGCTGGCATGAAATGAAGCTGGTCTGTGCGGGCTGTGTAGGCTGTGCAGGGGACTTTGATTGTCATTAGAGCAGATGGAAGCAAGCAAGGGGGTTCTGAAACACGGCAGGGAGATACCTGGCTTGCGTTTCAAAATCTCTCTGGCGGCCTTGTGGAGAATGGTTTGGAGAGGCCACAGCAGCAGTGGAAGAGGAGGAGGAAGAGGAGGCCATTGGGCAGGTGAAAGGAGACAAGAAGGTTTTCTGGGGTCAGGCAGTAGTGGTGCAGATAGAAGGGTGGAGGTACTCATGAGGAGGATTGTCAGGTCCCTGGTGCTAATAAGCTGCTACTGAGTACAAGAGAGGAGCGATGTGATGAGGGAGGTGGAGAGAAAAAAGTATGAGTTCCCACTTTGGGAATTATTTCTCTTAATTCCCAGGCATTTGACCACTGACCTTTGATTGTTCTAGGAGCTCTTAGAGCTCAGTATCTGTTGAAGAGGTTGTAAAAGCAAAGCCATTTCTGATCAGTAAGCTGCCTCTGCCTTTGCCTGAAGGCTTGGAATTGGTTTTGCCCCATCTCTATTGGAAGTGACAGAAGCCCCTGTCTCTGAAGGTTGCTAGCTCAGAAATGGGTGAGATTCAAGTCTGAAAACAAACTTTCCTATCTGAAGCAGGAGGCAGCCAGGTTAGGTGTGGTTTATCTTGGGAAAGGTGTTGAGCCTGACCCCTGAAGTCAAACAGTTGCACAGACCACCATTCTGAGAGCTGAGCTGATTGTACACTGTCTCACATTTTGCTCAAGATAGAGGCACAGGGACAGACTGATGCTAGTTGTGGAGGTGGTAAGAGGCAGTTACTGAGAGGCTTTTCTGTGGTTGTTTTATGTATGTATAGAAAGGTGTATTTATGGTTACACCCCTCTGGTTTTGCCCTCGGGAATTGGCTTTCTGGCTTTTGCTCTGCTTCCTTGCCATTATGGTTCTTTTTTTGGATTCATGATGGTAATGTGGACAGTTAGTTCTAGGAGATGTACACCTATGTACATTCTTTTAATCTCTTTGGAAGCCCCTGAAGTGCAATCTAGCAGAGCTGGGTTACAGATGGATTCTCAAAAGGGCAGATTCATGACTGCCTTCATGTGATTGGGGAGGAAGGTGGGAAGAAAGAACAGCATGGTGTGAGTATGCTGTGTTCACGGGTGCGCAGTGTGAGGGAGGCATGTGGCATGTGACGTGTCGGAACACGTGTATGGTGAGGGTGTGTAGAGCTGTGTGGCGTGTGTGCGCAGTACCAGCTCGGGTGGGGTTGATACATCGAGGGAGGCACTTGTAAGGCGCCAGTGCTGGTGTCCTAACACAAGCTCCTCATGTGCAGAATTCTGCCTCCTTATTAGGGAATCGTGTCAGGAGCTGGAAAGCCACCTCTGCGCTGCATGTGTGCTGCCTCTGTCCACCCTGTGTCCTCCACATTTCCAGGCTGTTTCAGCACCCGTAGTCTAGTAGTGCCCCTCCCCGAGGAGGGAGAGACAGGGGACCAGTGGTGTCCTCTTTTGGGTGCAGTCCTGGATCCCACGGGGCATCAGGGAGCAGTGTGGGAAGCTTCTCTGTAACAGCGGGCCTTGCTGGGTCCCTAGGTCCCAGCCCTCACATCGTGCTGGGGGAACCCCCAGCTCCCGAAGGCTTCAGTTCCTGGCTGCACTAAGTCGAGGGCAGTGCTGTGCCCTCTGCTGTGCAGTGTGAAGGAGAGCGAGCATGGAAACTGCTCCCAGGGCCGGAGGGCCTTTCAAGTTGGGCAGTCGTGAGCTGGGGCCTCCCGGCTTTCCTGGCTGTGTGGGTCACTGACATATTGATAGATTTGGCTGCCCCGGCAGACCTGGAGTGGGGGTCAACCAAATGAGGTCTGACCATATTACCAGATGTTCTCATTCACTCCATCCAGCTTCAAGGCCCTTTCTTAACATCAGGTCGCTTCCTATGTGCCATGGCGGAGCTGTCACTCTGTGATCGCTGCTTGCCAGGCAGCTCATGGGCTGTTCGGAAGTGCATGGTCCAGCACAGACTGATGTTCGCAGTAGGTGAACCCTGTTGGCGGTGTTTAGGACTGAAGCCCTCCTCACTTGGGTCAGGCCTTTGCTCCAAATTTTGAGAAAAATCTTAGTTTCCTGTAACCACAGGAAATACTTTTCCTGCCCAGCTGATGTCCTATTCTCTTGTCTTCTTAAGTAGATGTTAAGTTATTTTGGGGCTGTCGATTTCATGACTGTCTCTTGGACTGTCTTATGTAGTCCACTGGTAGTCAGGAAAAGCAAACGCCAATGGGTCAGTGTACAACAGGGTGATGTGTATGAAGGAAGCAACATCATACATGCTTAATGATTGTTGGGTTGTCCTGTTTTTTTTTCTTTTATCCTCATAAGGAGTGATATCTAGAAATTATCTATACTTTTGATCCAGCACTCTCACTTCTAGGAATCCAACATTCCTAGCTTGGATGAGCTCAGAGAGACATAGATGCGGCAATCCATAGAAGCATAGTGACGCAGTGTTCAGTGTCCCTGAGTAGGGAGCCGTGATAGGCAGTGTGATAGACCTGTCCTCCGTGGTCCACAAAGGTGCCCAAGTTGTAAAGACAAAAGCTAGGCTGAGTGTGGCGGCATATGCCTATAAGCCAGCCTGGGCTACGTAGTGAGTTCAAGGCCAGGCAGAACTACACAGTGAGACCCTGTCTCAGAAATCCCAAACCCAAAATCTCCCCAGAAATCTAAGCTGCAGAACAACAAAATGTGAGCCTTTTTGCCTTTTAACACACACACACACACACACACACGCACACATACAATCCCCGCTGTGTCAGTGAATACATGTGCGTCAGGATGTGAAAAGAGATGTGTGTTGGACTGTCAAGAGTGAGGACTTTATTCTTTTGCTCTGAATATTTCTACATTTGCATAGTTTACAACAGGAAAGCACTTACATTTTAAACATTAACCTGCATGCAATTTGGTTTTAAAAATAATTTAAAAGTATAATCAGGTTGAACTTTTAATAAAACATCTAGCCCATTCTTTTCCTCCAATCTGGGATTTATTCAAATAGACGAGGACTCCAGTATATTTAGGGCTAACTGTTGCATTAATTAAAAAAAGTATATAATCATTTCCTAAGGTGCATTAATGTTTACCCAGTACTTTTGTGTAATAGATATCAATTCATTTGATCATACAGGTGAGGAAATTGAGACAAAGAAAGGCATAGTGCCTTGCCATGAAAATAATGGTGGGAGTCATTCTGATTCTGAAGCTTGCTTGGTTAAACAGTGTTCTGCTACCTCTCTGATTAAAAGCAAGACAAAAAAGGAAATAGTAATTTCTGGTGAAGTTGCTTTTTATAATTGTAAGAACAATCTCAGATACCCTTTGGCTTTTAATTGCCTCATCTGTAGAATGGGGAGATGAACTTGGTGACCTCCAAAACTCTAAAGCACTAAAAAGCAAGGCCTGTGCCTCTACATGAGGCTGAGGCAGGAGAATTGCCATGAGTTCAAGGCCAGCTTGGGCTACATAGTGAGATGCTGTCTCCAAAAAACTTACAACCAAACAAGCAGTACATTCTGTGATTAGGGACTCTTGTCCTCTCTCTTCTCAACATGTGTTTCTTTCTTTTTCACAGTATGTAGGAAGCCTGGATGTGCCGAGACCCAACAGCAGGGTGGAAATTGTGGCTGCCATGCGCCGGATACGGGTGAGTGAGTGGTCAGAGTGGGGTGTGTGCAGCTGGAGTTCAAGCATCTTAGCTGCTGGCCTTTTCAGATGGCATCGGACTTGTCAAAATGACAGCTGCATCCTTTGCAAGCCCCAAGCCTCTTCGTCCTCTGTTGTCCTGGAGGCTGTTCACACTGGGTGGTTAGTCTTGATTCAGAGCCGAGGTTGAAGTGGGATGTGGTGGCCGAGGGTACCATCCTCCCTCTCTTGTAATGTGCTTGCACTGTGCACTGAGGTACACGTGTGATGGTTGGCCAGGTAGGGATGGAGAATGCGAAGAATCCTTTTAATTTAAAGATGTTAGGGGAAAGGTTTAGTAAGTAGCTGGTAATTGACTCAAAGCATATTTTTAAAAGGCAGTTGCTATGGCATAGAAATATAAAGCTTACTTTAATTTTTGAAAACTAAATGTGAAATTTCAACAAAATTTCCTGGATTGGCGGCTTTAGATCCTGGGCCTGTGTGTGTATTCTCTCCTGCTGTTTCTTGTTCTCTAGAAGATTTGGCATGTGTTCCAACCTGTGTCTTCTGACTCTGGCACATGGAGCTGAGATTGGACAAGAAGTAAACTGTCTTCCAACCATGGTGTAAGAGTTAGTTCATGTTCTGTGCACCGGAATAGGATAAATTATCTTAGGCCCGTTCATCTTAAAGGTAGACTTGGGATTGGTCAACTGTGTTATACTTACTTTTTAAGAGAGAGAGAATTGGTTTTAGAGATGTCTAGATTTGCCATCTCCGGATGTAGCCTGGTTTGGGCTCATTGTTCCTTGTCTTTACTATAATCTCACTTAAACGGAAAACATGAAAATGATGCTGGTATTTCATTTTGCTTTTGTTAGTTTTGTATTCAGCCAGTTATTCATCTGATCAGCAGAAACCTCAGTTTAATGCCAGCAGTGTTGGGATGAAAACAAGCATGTTTACTGCTGTTTTTATGAATGGTTCATCAACCTAATAAAATACTTTTTTCAGTAACTTGATCCTCCCAGGCTTTTGGCTTTATTTTTTCAGAATTAAGTTGAATTTATTGAGACTACTATTCAATGCAACAGTACTATTTCCCATGGACTTAAGTAACAAGTAGTTTTTGTTTTTTTATTGAGTTTATTGGTACAATCTAGGTATACAGTACTTACATTCATTAATGGTTCATCAACCTAATAAAATACTTTTTTCAGTAACTTGATCCTCCCAGGCTTTTGGCTTTATTTTTTCAGAATTAAGTTGAATTTATTGAGACTACTATTCAATGCAACAGTACTATTTCCCATGGACTTAAGTAACAAGTAGTTTTTGTTTTTTTATTGAGTTTATTGGTACAATCTAGGTATACAGTACAATTACATTCATTATTGGGATCCTGTACCTTTACATGATAGGTCTTGATTCTCATTTTTTCCCCTTGTCCCTGCCCTCCCTTCACCCCCTCCTCCCTTCCCCATAACAAGTAGTTTTAAAGCACTTTCACATGAATAATTTCCTTTAATGTTCACAGCAAGCTGTGGAGTTGGGGACGATGTCAGTCTCATTTTCTAGCTTAAACTGAAGCCCAGAAAGGGAAAGTAAGGTGTCACCCTAGTCCAAGAAAGGGTTTTTTCTGCTTGGTCTTGGGGACACATGCAGATTTTATCACCCATTTGACTGAAGGTTTGATGCTCAGAATTTCTGGGCCTCTTCTCCTCTTCCTTTTACCTTGGATATAAAGCAGGTACAGAAGCCTTGTCGAGAGACCGTGTGGGATGTTACCATTGTTAGGAGGGCCTCTGCCTTCATCACTGCTGCTGTGATAGGAAGGACTGGATTCGGAGCTGGCCTGTCACTCAGATGTCCACCAAGGTCCCTCTTTCATTCACTGAAGGACGGAATCTGTTGTTGCTAACGTCACTGTCACTATGAAAGTAACATCTCTACAAAATAGTAGCTACCAAAATTAGTAGCTCCTTACACATCATGAGCTTTGTGAAGTGTTTTGATATTGAAATGATGTTTTATGACTGTTTACAGCTACTCTGGATGAGGTAAGGATATTGCTGTGAGGTTTTATAGATAAGGACATAGAACCTTGAACAGGTTAAGCAATTCTAGGTCGGGTTGCTATTAACAGGTGGGCTGGAGCTTCACATCCAGGGCTGAGCTGCCTGTGATGCAGATATGAGTCAGGACCCCAGTAGGGAAGCAAGGAACTAGGACGTGGCATCTCCCTGGTACGGGAGCCAGTGGCAGGAACACAACTTTGTAGCATGATCAGAGGCTTGGGAGGACATTGCTGGAGGCAGGAATGACTGGTCGCAGGGTAGGAGTGGGCTGGTCTGCAGATGTGGAGGTGCTGGGGGCTGGAGCAGCCCTGTCGCATCTTCCCTCATGGTCTGCCAGGCCATGGCCCCTGTGCTGTCTCTGCATTCTGCTTTGGGGGAGCTGCTTCCAGCACCTAATGAGCAGCTCATTAAATTAGAAGGAGAAATTAATTGGCCAGAAAGCTGTTTGGTCTGGCTGTCCAGGCACTTGTTTAGACTGCCTACCATTAAGAGCAAGTGCTCTGATTGTGTCGTTCCCCAAACCCACAATTCACTGCTAAGTCCAGGCTGCTATTTTCTTTCCTTCCCTTTTCTTTTGTTTTCTTTTCTTTTCTTTCTTTCCCTTTCAAAAGCTGTTTGGGCTGTAATTACAGCTGTCAAGAACTAGGGCATGAGATCTGTAGAAAGGACTCTGCCTGATGGTGCCCTTTTATGTTGAATAGTGCTAGGCAGAACTCTGTGGGCTGTGGCTCCTGGGTGCTCTTGTGGGCTCAGAAGCCACAGGCCTCAAAGTGGGGCTGGAGTAGGGGGAGGTCCCCCAAGAGCAGCAGCTGTGGTAAGGAGCAGAGCCTTACACACAAGATGTATGTGTCTTGCCAGGCTCTGAGCCTGCTGAACTCCTGGCCTCTCTGGGGTGCGGTGCTATGGGGTGGCAGTGATCACCACCTCTCTTTCCTGGGGGAAGCCCTCAGAGAGCGAAGGGCTCTGCTGAAGGGGCCTACATTCCTCCTTGGAGCTCTGGCAGATGGATGCGTTTCTGTTCCTTTCCCAGCCCCACGCTCCTGTGTGTACTCCAGCTACATGCGTGACCTTTGTGATCAACTCACTCCTCTTCTTTCTCCTTCTCTCTCATCCGGTCTTTCACTTTCCTGATAGTCTTTCTGAATTTATGGTTTCTGTCTTGGGCATATGTTTCTTTTTTTAATGTGCTTTCAAGATGTCTTTATAGTTGTTGAATAGGCATTAACGTTAAATTTAACTTTTTGAAAGTATACGGTTCAGTAATGCTAAGTAGACTCTAACTCTTACAGCAGGTCTCTAGAATGTCTTATGTTGCAGCACTGAAACTCTGTTCCTATCAAATATATTTCTTTCTCCCTCGGCTCTTGAGAAGCAGGAAACCTTCTATCTGTTTTTGACTGTTTTAGATATCTTGCATGTGAGTACCATAATGTATTTGTCCTTTTGTGATTGGCTTAATTCACTTATCATAATCGCCTCAAGTTTATCCAGTGCAGGTAACAGTATTGCCTTCCTTTTGAGGGCAGCATAGCATTCCATTGTATATGTTACATGCATATGTATAGTTTCTCTATGTATTCCTCTCTCTGTGGACATTTGAATTGGTTGTACTTCTTGGCTATTATGAATTGTGCTGCTATGAACATGGGTGTGCAAATATCTCTTTGAGTCCCTTCTTTGAGTGTTTGTTGAATATATGTCCAGAAATAAGATTGCTTGGCCTTTTTTTTTTTTTTTTTTAAAGCTGGGGTCTTGCTGTGTTGCCCAGGCCAATCTGAAATTCCTGTGCTCAAGCGATTCTCCTGCCTCAACCTCCCTAGTTGCTAGGACTCCAAGTGTGTATTCCTGTATCTGGCAGTAGTTCTGTGTTTTGAGGAACCTCCAGGCTGTTTTCCATAGTGGATACCATTTTCCCTTCTTACCAACAGTCCAGAAGGATGATTTCAAGATTTTTTTTTCAATTACTTATATACCTTTATGGTTGCTAGCCCTTTAAACAGGTGGGTCTCTTTCTGGGGACCAGTCTGAGTATTCCTGGATGTCTTAGTTACTTTCCTCTCATTGCTGAGACAAAACATCTGGCACCTAAAGTTAAAGGAGGACAGGTTTATTTAGCTCACAGTTTGTAGAGATTTCAGTCCATGATCAGCTGGCTCCAAGGCAGAAGGAGAACCATTCATAGCAAGCAGAAGACAGCAAAAGCAAGCAAGCAAGAGAATCAACAAGCAACTTTAACCATGTCTTTCTGCCCCTTTTATCTTATCGAGACTATTTAGGGCAGGTAGCACTATTGCCCTTAATCCTAGGGCCCTTGAGCCTTGTGATACACCATGAATCAATCCCGGAGCCACACACTGCAGATCCGGCCACCTCAGAAAGAGCCCCAGTTCTGACTGCATGAGGCTTTGGAGGGAATTCTAGACACAGGCCATAACACTGGGTGATCTCAGGCAGCAGGACACATGCCCACAGTGGACTTGGAGGTTGCGTGCTCTCCCGGGGGCCCCGATGAATGGCTCCATGCCAAAGCACTGGAGGGCTTTGGATTTGGGTTTGTCCTCCTGGATGGTTGCAATCTCAGGATTAGTCCACTCTTTGGTATGAGAAGACACCTAAATGGATAAAGTTATCAGGGCTCTGACAAAGCTTCTCTGGAATCAAGCTCTTTGATCTTTTACTTTTCTAACAATACCCCAAGTCTAACTGCTTCTGTCCCTGCCCAGCCTGGCTGTATGTATGCTTGTTCATTCATCCATTCCTCAGGTATCTTTTCATTTGTTTGTTTTGTAGCATTGGGGATCAAACCCAGGACCTTCCCCCTGACTACTCCCTAGACTTTAAGTCAATAAATTGCCCAGGCTAGGCTCTAACTTGAGATTGTCCTGCTTCAGCCTGTCCTGCTGGGTTTCTAGGCATACACCTGGCTCCATTTCTCAGATAT